CTTGTTGGTTGTTCTGACTATCAATGTCACTTCAAATGTTACTTCCTATTGGTCGACTTAACTGTCAATGTCACAGAATTCGATGCTGTTTCCTATTCGACCAAAATGTATAAATACGCATTATCTGTAACGTTTTGTGACCAGGACCCGGTCCCTAGTCTGGGATCCTGATTCTCTTCTGGACTCGAACATCGTACTTTCTGGATGATTGTAGAATACAAGTTCTAATTCATATCAAGTCTTCTTATTTTTACTCATTATGTGAGTTGGAATAATCAGATTTGTGTAGCATGTCGTGTCGTCGGATCCACGATCCTCGCTCTCGTTTTTCGACTAAGGTGACCTCGTAATAATAGTTCAAGCATATCAAAATGACGTGTTTACGTGCAGGCGTAACATAAACACTATGTAATACCGTATTTCTTCTGGAAAGAAATAGTTTCACTGCCAAAATTCTATTGTCATTTCCAACAGAGATTGATGTGTGTTTCAACGCCTCACGTTTTATGAAATCAACAACTATGAACAGTGGTGTACAGCAATTATTGTAAAATGACATGCTCTTGAACAAACTGAGCAGTCTAATACTTCTACTACCTCTACTACTACTACTATACGAACGATTTGAATTGACAATTCGATCACTGTGTGCTAATCCAGTAGAGCACAACTTGAACTGAATTAAAAATACCTACGAAGTTCTACATTGTAACTGAATGACTGAATAGTTAGACAATGTCTTACATTATTAAAATACCTTCTTATCATCGTTCATGACAGTCACTCACTGAAGTGCAAGACAATAAGAAACACTCAAACTATGGTAGTCAACTAATCAACAGAATAAATAATAACTGAAATCAAAATGAACTGAGAAATGAAAAATGTAGGAAAACAAAGGTGTGATTGACAACATTGACAACATTGAAACTCCAGTCGAAAAATCTTATTTTTTTGTTAAGCCATGAAATTAAATGTATGAAAATGGTCATTTGCCTACATGCATGAGTGGATTAGCAGCACATTGTTATTACTGCATAAGTGAAACTTGAAAACTATGACACACATTAGATTGTAAGTGATTATTAGTTAAATGATATTTTGATGATTGTTACATGTTAGTATATATTAAAGATGCAGTTTAATCTGAGCCTGTTATAGTTATGTTAGGATATTTATCCAATATCCTAAGAGAATTAATTATTGGTCAATTCCTATTGGTTAATTCCATGTCCATGTTACGTGCTCCAATGTTGTTTCTTATTGGTTTACCTGACTATCAATGTCATTTCAAACGTTGCTTCCCATTGGTCGTCTTAACTGTCAATGTCACAGACTTCGATGATGTTTCCTATTCGACCAAAATGTATAAATATGCATTATCTGTAACGTTTTATTACCACGGCCAGGACCAGGACCTGGATCCCTAGTCCGTGATCCTGATTCTCTTCTGGATTCGGACTTCGTACTTTCTGGATGATTGTAGAATACAAGTTCTACTTCATATCAAGTCTTCTTATATTTATTCAATATGGGTGTTGGGATAATCGGATGTGAGTAGCATGTAGTGTCGCCGGATCCTCGCTCTCGTTTTCCGACTAAGGTAAACTCGCAATAGTTCAAGTATATCAAGTTGACGTGTTTACATGCAAGCATAACAAGTTACATGTTTAGAGCTTTGTGAACATCTTCACTTCATTATGAGATGACATAACTCTTCTAAACGAAAACTTTCTAACTACTGAGGCAGAATTCGTATTATATTTTCTGATTAGCATTTGTTTTTCAGCGAGTCAGTTTTCTACGGGATTGGGTCATTAACCCCATGTCCAACCCTCCTCATTTATCCGGGAATGGGACCGGCATTAGTCCTAGAGGGACTCCATGTGGAGTCAACAATTGTGTAAACCAGATATCTAATAACTGATTAGATTTATTTGTAATCTTATTTTAAACTAACACTTTAATAAAACAAAAAACGATAAAAAGAAAACTGAAAATTGACAACAACTTATTGATCATGTTACGTAAAACAAGTACACCAAAATGAGAAATCTATTAGCTAGTTTATTGTTAGCTGCAGCTGTTACAATCTATATAGTCACAGCAGAGACTTCAAACTAAAAAGGCCATTTTTAAACAAATTGAACTGAAAATTGATCATCGAACAATGGGCTATTCTATACCATTACACAAATTGGTGACTATCTTAAGCTAAGTGGATTGATTACATGATGAAACCTGAATCGAACAGCACTGGGTTCGAGTCCTGGGATGAATATGTAACTCAGATAAAACATCCATTTTGCTGTTTCAATTTGTCCTACTAAAGTTTACGATTACAGTCATATAACAAACATCAAGTCTGGGATGACAAGTCATGAATAAAACAAGTGATAAGTCATTACTGAGTAGATCAGTTCATTATAATTACAGTCCGTCAGTCAGTCAGATGCAACGTAGAACTTCGTACGTAAGTACATCAGTTCATGTTGCCATACCACACATTTAACAGTCAATCTACACATTCACTACATATGGAAAGTCGAATTTGTTTTAACCGGTGATTCTTTAACAAAAGCATCTTTTGCTAATGTTTTTAAGTTAGAAGCATTTTTTTTTTGAAAAACGGAGATGTAATCAGTGGAATTAAGGATGTACTCGTCAGTTGGACACGTTTTAACTAAGCAACTCTGTCGTTAGGAAACGGGTGCTAGGTAAGGATGTCAGGTTAATAGATGAAGTATTGAAACTTCATCAGTTGAGGTGGTTGGGACATGTGTTACGTATGCCTAACCACCGACTGGCTCGTCCAGCTATATTTTACGATGTAGGAGTAGGTTGGAAGAAAGCTATTG